TTAGTCTCCAACTCACACACTGGCAAGTCAAATCTGAGAATTTATTAGCCATTGGCTAATATTAGACATCATTTAGTCGCCCAGAGTGAAGATTTAGTCGCATATGCGAGTGATTTACTCGCAATGTAGAGGGTTGGCGGTTTTCAGAGAAAGTTACAAAGAGGATGTATGTCTTTGGTTTAAATGGGACAGTTTGTCCATAATTAAAATTCTTCAGCCACTTCTTGAAAAGGTTAACATTCAGTCATGTCTAGATGGATAAAAGCCTTGTTTTAGTGATGGATTGAGACTGAAGTTGAACTCTTTGGCCTGAATGGAATGTGCTATGTTAGTATGTTTGGTGCAAACTATAGTTTGACTACCAGCACTGTTATCTTGTTTATGGTCAGGAACCACCCATGTGGCAACCACAATCTCTGTGTCTTGTATTGTTTAACGATGGATAAATCTAAAACAGACACTACAACAATAACAGTAACAGTAACTCATTTAATTGATTGTGAGTCTGTTTGGAATGAGTAGGAGCTCACTGGTCATGGCCACGGCCACATGATCCCGCCCAACCAACTGCCAGTTGTGATATCAAACATCCTGTCTGAGTGTCAGCAGGGTCATTAACTTAACAGGAAGTTAACTGGGGCTGTTAACTTTCAGGTTGAGACGTGAGCTTGCACACCAACCATCTAAATTTTTTGACTGTTTAAATAAACATACAACTGAAAATCATGAAACAATTTTAAGTCTTGAAACAAATGTATCAAATTGTATGCTCTGCATCATTTTTTTTTTCTGCGTAAAAAAAAAGAAAAAATAGAGACTTCGTTTTTAAGATAATTGTAATTAATAACCATATTTAGTTAATAGATGCTATAACTACATTGGCCTCTCAAAGCATAGTTTTTCATTGATGGCCAACATTATTTCTGTATTGTGGCAAATAATTTTTTAAAAAGACAAATAATTTATAATATATATTAGGGCTGCACGATAAATCGCATGCGATATTTAACGCGCATCTTGTCAGAAAGCCGGTTCTGTAATCAGCGGTTAAATATCGCATGCGATTTATCGTGCAGCCCTAATATATATTGTAAATGTTTTACTTGTAGTGCCTTTAAATCGCATAAAATAAAATTTTCCCCCTTACATTTTAAAATGTGTTTTTTTTTTCTTTTATACTGTAGAATCTGTACATTATTTATATTCATAAATGTGGAAAACTATGTAATAATATCTGCGGCACTAAAAACAGAACTTTAAAAATAAAAACTATTTTCAATCAGGTTTCCCTGACACTTTCTAAATTTGGGTAATTGAACTTGGTATGTTGTTCAGGATGTCGTGTTCAAATGTTCATATATATTTTTTCCCCCCAAATGTAATGTTTCTGGATTCCATTTTTAATGATTTGATTCATTTTTAATATTCGAACAGGATGTCTAATCAATTGGATTCAAAAGCTTTAAAGGAGAACTATTATGCCCATTTTTACAATATGTAGAAGTCTCCGGTGTGCCCAGAATGTGTCAGTGAAGTTTCACCTAAAAAACCCCAGAGATCATTTATTATATCAATTTGAAAATGACTATTTTGAGTGGAAGCAGAAACACGCTGTTTTCGTGTTTCTTTAAATGCAAATGAGCTGCTGCTCCCTGCCCCCTTTTCCAGAATAGGTCCGTGCCTTTACAGCTCATACCTCAAATACTCAGCTAAAAAAACATCTGCTTGGTTTTGATTATCACGTCTATCTAGCTGAAATCATGCGTTTTAAACCATATTAGTTTAAACTTCTGATATATGGTTTTCTGAGCTCACACATCTGAAGCACGCACACAGAAAGCGTCTGTCACATGCCATGTGAGTACTAAACTAAGTTCTCTTTCATGTCATATTGCGCTTAAACTGTCAAATACACACAAGTTTATGTTAAAAACACACCAGTTACAAAAATAGTCAGTTATGTCTGTGGAGGTAAACAGCTGGGAAAGAAATTGCATGTTTATATCAGATCTGTGTGGCATCAGCATAATATACAGTAAATTAATCAAATCCACTGCTATCTTGTCTCCTCTCAGACTGGGAATCTAAATATTGTTCTGTGCTTGTCAGTGTAGACAAAGACGGAACAGTTAGCATGCTTTGCTCGAACTTTCGTTCGTTTCGTACACCGTTGTTGCTTGCGAAAAAACAATGGTAATATTATAATAAAATCTACTTTCTACGTCACGGAAGGGAGCAAAATCTGAGTGGCTCGTTTTTTCACAAGCTTGCAGAGAAAGGCTTCCCAAACAAATTACTGGGTTGTTCTTTTTCACGTTTTCTGGGTTGGTAGATGCACCGGGGACCCAATTATAGCACTTTAACAGGGAAAAAGTAGGATTTTCATGATATGTCATGAAATACCTTTAACAATTTATTTGTCTTTTTAAAGGGATAGTTCACCCAAAAAAATTAAATTAGGCTATAGCATTAATTACTCACCCTCGTGTCATTCCAAACCTGTAAGACATTTGTTCATCTTCGTAACAAAAATTAAGATATTTCTGATGAAATCTGAGAGCTTTCTGACCCTCCATAGACAGTAGGGGTGTGAACCTATACTGGTCTCACGGTTCGGTTCGGTTACGATTATCATGTCATCGATTCAGTTAAATTCGATATCACAATGCATTGGCGATGCACTGCATCCTCAATTTTCAATTTTACTTTGTGTATTCAATTTTGTAAATAAATACAAGCAATCAGATATATGGACTGTACCTGACGTGGTTTCTCAAGTTAGTGGTATTACCCCCTGCATATTTTATTGTGCGTGACATGATTTACACACAGCGTGTGTC